ATTGAGGCAATCACATTGTTATATACTCAGAAAGTTGTTCTTTGACTCTGTATTAAGCCCCCATTATTGAGACTGTTTTGATTGTTTGGGTGGTATTCATATCTGAAGATGGCTATGTGACTGGCCACCTATTTTATATCAGGGTTGTGAGCCTGTGAGTCTAGTACTATGTCTTTTGAAGTCAGGCTTTGCTGCTGCTAGTCTTCATTTCTACAGCATCTGTGTTTAGGTTGAGTGAGCGCCGCCGCAAACGTCTCCAGGAGCTAGAGGGTCAAATAGCTGATCTAAAGAAGAAACTGAATGAACAGTCAAAACTTCTGAAGCTGAAAGAATCCACAGAGCATACCATCTCCAAACTGAACCAGGAGATACGGGTATTAAACTCTATCTATGCATTTGCCCTACTGAAACTTACAAACATAGGTGTTCCATTTGGAATTATACTACATAGGTGTTTTCAGGTGAGAAAGTAGCAGGCAGGGTCATCATTTCAAGTGTGTAAATCTCCACAAAAGTCCCTTTTGCAGAACATTATTCGTAGTGGTCATCTAGAATCTGAATAACGAAACCCTTCTTTGACATTCAGAATTTAATGTTAGATTCCCTGAAAAACAAAGGGCAAAGATACCTTAATATTTAGTGGTAATATCCTGACCACCTTCCATGATTATGTGGAATAATTTCGTAAAGTAGTTGCAAAATTACAAATACCTAGAGACAATATTCAACTTATCTGCCAAGTAGTTGCTTCAGGCCACTTGTACTGAAACCTTCAGATACAATGGTTGCTAGGTGGATTTGTCCTTGAGACTTAGTAAATATTTCCTTGAAATTTCATTTATATAGCATGAATTTAGGGCTGGACTTAGCTTGTAAGTACATTTTTGCTTTTATTTCTATTTGTTATTTGTGTTTATTTGTATAGTCTATACTCAGAAAACCTGTGCAAGCATAACAAGGGCTATTGCAAGCATAATCATAAAGTCTGTTGGTGGCCTTCTCAGCTTAGTTTTCTCTCTTCTTAATGGTTAGTCGGTCCATATGCACATCAACCTAGAATAAATGCAGATGACTGATACTTGTACTGGCTTTTGTTTTTACAGGTGATGAAAAACCAGCGGGTACAGTTAGTGCGTCAGATGAAAGAGGATGCTGACAAGTTTAGACAGTGGAAACAACAAAAAGACAAAGAAGTAATCCAATTGAAAGAACGGGTAAGTACCAGAGGGACAGTGGAGGGGGGTGGGTGGAGGTGGGCAAAGGTGGGGAATGGGGACATCTATAATAGTGTCAACAATAAATATAAAGTAACAAAACAAAAACAGGTAAGTAACTACACTCCTCAAGGATAATAAACCCTTCTCTGGGCTGACTAACATTAAATCATTTTTTCAAATAACTGGTGTCTCCAAAAAATGTGACACATTCATGAATTTAACAGCTATTTATTAAATGTCTACTGTGTGCAAGGTACTATCCACTAGATACCCTGGAATATAGGAAGATGGGTAGTATATAAATCCTGCCCTTGACGAATGCCTGGTGTAAGGGGAAGATGAGACAAAAACATGGTTTTCTCCAATATAAGGGATAAAGAGATCTGTGCTTTACGAATGGTCTAAAACACCAAAGTAGTTAAGAAAGGGAAGCAAACTTCCAGTTGGAGTGAAAAGATGATAGGTGAACAGGCCTTGAATATTAAGGAGGATTTTGATAGAGATAAATGCAGGCATTCCAGATAGATGAAACAGCAGGAGATGACAACTTTGTAGGCATATTCGAGGAATGGCTAATGGTCCAGGTGGGATGAAGGATAGTAGTAAAAAGTTCCGTTGGAAAGACAAGTTGAAGCTGGATTGTTAAAGATCCAAGAAGTTTGAACTTTATTTTCTTAGCAGAGTAAAGATTTTTAAGGTTTTTGAGAAACAATGTGATATCAGCAAAGTACTACTTTAGAAAGATATGTCTGGGAGTAATGTGTAGAACAAACTGAAGTATTGAGAAACCGGAGGCCAGAACACAAGTTAAGAAGATGTCGTATTATCCAGAAAGATAGTTAGGGCCTGAATTAGAGTAGTAACAGCATGCTTGGAAAGGACATTGATTTGGAGAAATTTTTAGAATTGGCCAGAATGTGATATGTTGGGTCAAGAAATAAGGAGAGAAGTACCTTCAGAATGGTAGGTAGCATGAGGAGATTTGTGGACTCAGTGAAAGAAGCACAGCTGATAAAATTTATAAAAACAACCATAAAAATCTCTGGAAATTGTCCTAAGGGCATATAGCAAATAAACAATTATTCAAGGAACTCTACTAAATCTCAGTAAGAACAGCAAGAGTCTGTGGCATTTGAGCCACGGCCAGCTCCCTCCCCTTACCCCCCAGTTTCCGTTCTATGGCTGTGGTTTCTTCTGTTTCATCGCCTTAGCTCCATGTTACTGAAGCTCTGTTTCAGGCAAGAGCAGCCAAGAGGTCTGTGTACCCCTTCTTCCACCTAGCCCCCATGCATAGGGTGGAAACTCTGCCCCTGCTTTAGAAAGCCAGGAGTACTGGGGCCTGATTGTCCCAACCCATGTAACCATAGGATGGAGGTTTCATGTCAGGAGAGGCAAGCCAAGAAAAATAGCCAGCATCCTACTTAGAACAGAAATGTTACTCTAGGAACTAGGCTGCGGTCCCTGCCCCCAGGTCCTTAGCGAAAGTTCTGCCCAGGGGGAGAGGCAGGCCATAGGAACAGCCATAGGAATGCTGCCTTCCATAAGGGGACTGACTTTATTTGAAGAAAGAGTTTGGAGAAATTAAAACCTGAAGGTGCTATCAACCAAGAATCTTATAGAGAGCAAAGTTTTCTTTCAAAAATGAAGGCAAAATAATGACATACCCAGATAAACAAAAGCCAAGTAAATTTGTTTTTAGCAGATCTACATTACAAGAAATACTAAAAGAACTGCAGACTAAGGCAAGTGATACTGACAGTAATTTGAATCTGCACACACACAAAAAAACAAAAACAAAGAGTGCCAATAAAGGTATTACATAGATCATTCTAAAAGAGTATAATTATATATTACATTTCCTTTCTTCTCTTAATGTTTTGAAAAGCAATTGTATAAAATAATATGTATGTAATTGTACTGATGGGCCTATAATATATAGAAACATATCTTTGACACTAATGACATAAAGGAGGTGGCTGGAGGCAAAGTTATATTTGAGTAACAAAATTACATCATACAGTAACATGAATCTACAGGAAGAAATGAGGAGAAACAAATGGTAAATAACAAATTCGATCAACATGTATTTGCTTTCCTTTTAGCTCAGCTTGTTTCAAGGACATAAAGTAATAATTATAATTATTTTTGGTTATATATTGATGTAATATGCATAACAATAATAACACAAAAAAAGGAAGAGAGAACAGAGCTATACAGGAATAACATTTCTATATCTCACTGGAATTAAGTTAATATAAATCTTTAGTAGATTCTGATAAGATATTTATTATAAGCACTAGAGCAATCATTAAGAATATAACTCAAAAAATAAAGTGAAATAATCATTAAAGTAATTAATATGCCATATTACAAAATATTCATATTCACTTAATGTGAAGAAAAGCAGTAAAGGAAGAATGAAGGAACAAAAAAGATAAAAGATAGAAAACAAAAACTAAGCTTGAAAACATAAATCCAGTCATATCAATAATAACATAATTTAAGTGGATTAAATAATCTCATCAAAGGGCAGAGACTGTCAGACTGAATTGAAAAAAACAAGATCTATAACAAGATATGGTATCTACAGAAGACACATAATGGATTCAAAGATACAAATAAGTTGGAAGGATGGAAAATGATCTACCATTCAAACATCAACCATAAAAATGCTAAAGTGGCTATACAGACAAAATACACTTTGGAACACAGATTGTTACTAGAACTAAAAAGGAACATTTTATAATGATATGAGTCCATCCATCAGAAAGATATAACAATTATAAAAATATACCCCTAACAACAGAGCCCCAAAACAACATGAAGCAAACACTGACAGAAATGAAGGGCAAAATAGACAAATCAAAAATTCTATTTGGACATTTCAATACCCCATTTTCACTAAAAGATAGAGCAACTAGGTACAAGATCAGCAAGGATATAAAATACTTCAACAATATTATAAACTAACTAGACCTAACAGACGTCTATAGAATACTCCAACCAACAACAGCAGGCTATATATTCTTCTCAAGTGCACATGGAACATTCTCCAGGGCAGACCATATGTTAGGCCATAAAACATGCATCAATGTTTTTTAGAGGATTGAAATAGTGCAAAGTATGTTTTCCAACAAATTTAGGAAATTCACAAATGCACTCCTAATTAAATAATAGATCAAAGAAGAAATCACAAGAAAAACTTGAGATGAAATTAAAACAAAGACACAACATACCAAAACTTACGGGATGCAGCTAAAGGGTGCTTAGAGGGAAATTTATAGTTGTAAGTGCCCATATTAAAAATGAAGAAAAGTCTCAAGTCAATAAGTTTAGCCTTCTACTTTAAGACACTGAAAAAAGGAAGAGCAAACTAAACCAAAGCTAGCAGGTAGAAAGAAATATTAAGAGTGGAAATTAATGAAATAGAGAACAGGAAACAATAGAGAAGATCAATGAAACCAAAAGTTGGTCCTTTGAAATGATAAATACTGACAAACTTTAGGTATGCTTTATAAGAAAAAAAGAAGATTCAAATTACTAAAATTCCGAGTGCAAGAGGGACCATCACTACTAATCTTTCAGAAGGAAAAAATTATAAGGGAATATTATGAACAACCGTATGCCAACAAATTAGAAAGCCTTGATGAAATGGAAAAATTCTTGGAAAGATGAAAACTACTGAAACTGCCCTAGCCAGTTTGGCTCAGTGGTTAGTGTGTCAGCCCGTGGACTGAAGGGTCCTGGGTTCGATTGCGGCCAAGGGCACGTAACTCAGTTGCAGGAGCAATCCCTGACCCCTCTTGGGGTGTGTGCATGAGAGGCAACCAATCGATGTATCTCTCACATCGATGTTTCCCTCCCCATCTCTCTCTCTCTCTCTCTCTCTGAAAAAGCAATGGAAAAAATGTCATCCAGATTTAAAAAACAAAAACAAACAAAAAAGAAAACTACGGAAACTGACTAAAGAAGAAATAGAAAATTTTATAACAAGAGATTAAATTAGTAGTTTAAAACTTCCCAGAAAGAAAAGCACAGGCGCAGACAGCTTCACTAGTGAGTTCTATCAGACATTTAAAGAAGAAATAATACCAAATTTTCAGAAACTTTCAAAAAACAGGGAACAGTGTTTCTCTCATACCAAAACCATACAAAGACATCGTAGGAAAAGAAAGCCACAGACCAATATCTCATGAATATAAATGTGAAAATCTTCAACATAAAACTAACAAATTGAGTCCAGCAACATATAAAAAGAATGATACACCATGACCAAGTAAGATCTAAAAAACTGCAAAGCTTCTTTAACATCTGAAAATCAAATAATGTAATATACCACACTATTAGAATAAAGGATCATCTCAATAGACACAGAAAAGCATTTGACAAAATTCGACATCCTTTCATAATTAAAGCACTCAAAAAACAACTAGAAAGGAACTTCCTCAGCTTACTAAAAGGTCATTTATGAAAACCCTGCAACTAGCGTCATACTTAATGATGAAAGACGGAATACTTTCACCCTAAGATCAGGAACAAGACAAGGATATCTGCTCTTGCCGTTTCTATTCAACATTGTCCTGGTGGTTCTAGCCAGGGCACTTAGGCAAGAAATATATATAAAAAGCATCCAGATTGGAAAGGAAGAAGCAAAACTATCTCTGTTAGCAGATAACATGATCTTGTATATAGAAAACCCTAGAAAATCTAAAAAACTATTGGAACTAATATACGACTTCAGCAAAGTTGCAGGATATCAGTTCAACATATGAAAATCAGTTGTTTTCTATACACTAGCAACTAACAATTTAAAAATGAAATTAAGAAAGCATTTCATTTATAACAGCATCAATAAGAATAAAATACTTGGGAATAAACTTAACAAAACAATTTTAAGACTTAGACACTAACAACTACAAAACATCATTGAATTAAAGATCTAAATAAATGAAAATATAAACCATGTTTATGGGATGGGAAAACTTCATATTCTTGTTTGTTTGTTACTCCTCACCCCAGGATACTTTTTCCATTCATTTTTTTTTTAGAGAGAGTGGAAGGGACGGAGGAGTGGGGAGAGAGAGAGACACATCTGTTGGTTGCCTCCCGCAGACGCCCCAACCGGGGCCGGGGAAGGAACCCGCAACCCAGAAACATTCCCTTGACCCGGAATTGAACCCTCAGGCCGGCTCTCTAACCACTGAACCATGCCGGCCAGGGCATGCACTTCATATTCTTAGGATGGAATACTCCCCAGATTGATGTACAGCTTTGACACAATCCCAGTCAAAATTCCACCTGGCTTATTTGCAGAAATTCACATGCTGATCCTAAAATTCATATGGAAATGCAAGTGACCCAGAATAGTCATAACAATTTTAAAAGAGAAGAGTAAATTTGGAAATGTCACATCTATCGCCCTTTTTTTAGTGTGTTGAGAACACTTAAGATATACTCTCAGCAAATTTTAAGTATACAATACAGTATTATTAACTATCGTCACTATGCTATACATAGATCCCGAGAACTTGTTCATCTTATAACTGAAATTGTTTACCCTTTGACTGACCTTTTCCCCATCCCCCAGTCCCTGGTACCACTGTTCTACTCTCTGGTCCTGAGTTTGACTTTTAGATTCCACATATAAGACATCATACAGTATTTGTCTTTCTCAGCCTCGTTTATTTCTCTTACCGTAATAGCCTTCAGGTTCATCCATGTTGTTTCAAATGGCAGGGTTTCCCTTCTTGTTTATGCGTGAATAATATTCCATTGTGTATATGTACCATATTTTTGTTATCATTCATCTTTTCATATTTTGGGTATTATGAATAATGCTGCAATGAATATGAGAATGCAGATATCTCTTCAAGATACTGGTTTCATTTACTTTAGATATATAACCAATAGTGGAATTGCTAGATTTTACAGTAGTTCAATCTTTTAATTTTTTGTTGTTAATCATCACCCGAGGATATTTTTTCCATTGATTTTTAGAGAGAGTGGAAGGAGGGGTGGGGAGAGAGAGAGAGACATTGATTGGTTGCCTTCCACACATGCCCCTACCAGGGCAGAGACCGAACCTGCAACCCAGGTATGTGCCCTTGACTGGGACTTGCACCCAAGACCCTTCAGTCTGAGGGACGATGTTCTACCCACTGAGTCACACCCACCAGGGCCTATTTTTAATTGTTTGAGGAACCTCTTGTTTTCCATAATGACTGTACCATTGAAAGACTCTTTAGTTACATAATAAGATTTTATTTTAGCTAGCTGAATAAAAGTCTGGTTTATTTCTTCTCAGGAACGAAAGAGGCAATATGAGCTGCTCAAACTTGAAAGAAACTTCCAGAAACAATCTAATGTGCTTAGACGTAAAACTGAGGAGGTAAGAAAATCCAGTCTGCTAGGTCAAGTGTATTGCTTAGATGCCGGCAAAGTAGTATTCCTTAAATGATCCAGTGTCCTCAGAAACCGGAATTGCCAATCTTTTTTTTCCCTAATTCTCACCCAAGAATACGTTTTTATTGATTTTAGAGAGAGAGGAAGGGGGAGAGAGAGAGAAACACTGATGTGAGAGAGAAACATCGATTGCCTCCCATACATGTTCCAACTGGGGACTGAACCAGAAACCCAGGCATGTGCCCTGATCAGGAATCAAACCCAAAACCCTTTGTTATACAGGACAATGCTTCAACCAACTGAGCCACCCAGGCAGGGCAGGGGATGCCAACCTTGACCAGCAATTCCTAAGTCTTGATCCCTGTTTATATGCCATGAACTCTGAGCAGATAGAAATGGTACTAGTCAAATAAGGATTTTTTTCTAATCGGGCTTGCTTTGTTCTAAAAATTCACAGAATAATATTGATATGTGACATTTCCAGACATTTTCAAGCCAGTAGCACTTCCTTGAAATGTGTACCTCTTACCTAGGTTCTAAAGCAGTAACTGTTGACCAGAATCTGCTTTAGAACCTAGGGGAGGTGCACATCTGACGTGGACACTTATGAACTTGGTTCATATAGGAACTCAAACCATATAATTTTTTTATTTTACTTTACTAATGTGCTGGAAATTAGAATGTTCTTTTTATCCTTCAATTCAACATTACTGTGAGCTGTTTTTATTTAGGCAGCAGCTGCCAACAAGAGGCTCAAGGATGCTCTCCAAAAACAACGGGAGGTCGCAGATAAGCGGAAAGAGACTCAGAGCCGTGAAATGGAAGGCACTGCAGCTCGAGTGAAGGTATGGACAGCTTAAACGGTCATTTCCCTTTTGTACTGTTGTGGATGGAACATGGGAAATAGCTTTCTTTTCATTTAGAAGTAAACTGCAAAATCTGAATGTCTACCTGAAAGCCTTATTTCCTGAAGACATGAATATATGAATGGTTGTTAAAGACCAAGAGTAGAGAACCCTTTCTATCCCTGCCCCTTTTAAGGTTCAGTTAATTTTTTGACAGTTCTCTTGAGGTATAATTGACCTACAATAAATCGTACCTTTTTAAAGTGTACAATTTAATAACTTTTGACACAGATATGCACCCATGAAATCACCACAATCAAGATAACATCAACATCCATCATGACTAAAACTTTGTACCCCTTTGTAATCCTTCCATCCCCCCCCCACCCCTCATCTCAAGGTAACCATTAATCTGCTTTCTGTCATTATATATTTATTTTCATTTTCTAGAATTTTATAAAAATGGAATCATACAGTATTTTTCTCTAACTTTCACTCGACATAATTTGTTTTTCATCCATGTGGTTGTGTGTATCAGTGCTGCTTTTTTTAATGCTGAGTGGCATCTCATTCTGTAGATACACCACAGTTTTTTTAATTAATTCACCTGTTGATTGACATGTTTCCAGTTTTTAACTATTACAGATATTGTACTGAATATTCATGTACAAGTCATTGTGTGCATACATGTTTTTATTTCTTTGGGTAGAAAACCTAAGAGTGGAATGGCTTGTATGATACATGTATATTTTAACTTTTTTGTTTATAAACAACAGTAATTTCTCACAGTCCTGGGGGCTGTCCAAGGTTAGGATGCTGGCAGATTCAGTTTCTGTTGAAGGCCTATTTCCAGCTGTCTTCTCCCTGTGTCCTCACATGTTAGAAGATGGTGTATACTTTAAGTTAAGCAACTGCCAAATTGTTTTCCAAAGTAATTGTACCATTTTACATTCCCACTAGCAATGTACGAGGGTTCTCATTGCTGTAGTTTCCCAACAATATGTAGTTTGAATATGGTCAGTCTTTTAAATTTTAGCTATTCTAGTAGATGGGTAGTGGTACCCCATTGTGGTTTAGTTTTCATTTCCCTAATGACTAATGATGTTGAGCATCTTTTCATGTGTTTATTTGCCATATATATGTTTTATGAAATATCTGTTCAAATCTCTTCCCCATTTTTAATTGAGTTGTCTTTTTTCTTATTTTTGAGTTAGAATTCTTTATATATTCTAGATATATCTAACAAAGGACTTCTATGTCTTAGAAATATTTTCTCCCAGGCTGTGGTTTGCCTTTTAGTTTTTGTTTCGTTTGTTTGTTTTTTGGTAATCCTCACCCAAGGATATTTTTTCCATTGCTTTTTAGAGAGAGTGGGACGGAGGGAGGGGGGAGAGAGGTAAAGAGAGAAAGAGAAACATCAATGTGAGAGAGACACATCAATTGATTGCCTCCTGTACTCCCTCCAACCACGGATGGGGATCGAACCTGCAACCCAGGTACGTGCCCCTGACCAGGAATTGAACCCTTGACCCTTTGGAACACAGGCCGATGCTCCAACCACTGAGCCACACCTGCAAGGATGCCTTTTAGTTTTTTAACAGTATCTTTTGAAGTAAAAAGCTTTTTAAATTTTGATGCCATCCAATTTATTGACATTTTTCTTTTATACTTTAATGATTTTTATGTCCTATTTAAGAAATCTTTGCCAAACCCAAGGTCACTAAGATTTCCCCCTAAACTTCCTTGTAGAAGTCACATAATGTTAAGCTTTATTCTTAGGTCTATGATTCATTTTGACTTGATACCTTTGTCATAATCAATTGTCCATAAGTCAATTTCTAGATTCTATTCCATTGATCTGCATGTCTATCCTTAATTACACTGGCTTTATAAGAAGTCCTGAAATCAGGTAGTATAAGTTCTCTAAAGTTGTTACTCTTTTTCAAAACTGGTTTGGGAAAATTAGGTCCTTTGCATTTCCATATAAAGTTTAAAAACAACTTATCAATTTCTACAAAAATCCTGCTAAGAGTTTGATTGGGACTGCATAGAATTTATAGATATATTTGAGGAGAATTTACATCTTAACAATATTGGGTCTTTTGATCCATGAACACAGTACACCTCTCCATTTATCTAGGTCTTTTATTTCTCTCAGCAGTGTTTTCGTTTTCAGTGTACAGGTGTTACACAGTTGTCAAATATATCCCTAGTTTCATATTTTTATGATACTGGAAATGGTTTTTTTAATTTCAATTTCCAACTTTTTGGACATGCTTGTTGGTTCTTGTAGCTTTTCTGTAGAGTCATTAGGATTTTCCACATAGACAATCATGTCATCTGCAAATAGGGACAATTTTTATTTTTTCTTATCTGCTCTATATGCCTTTGTTTTAACTTTGTCTTGCCTTATTGCACTTGCCAAATCTTCCAGTAAAATATTGAGTAGAGTAGGTGAAAGGAGACATCCTTGCTTTGTTCCCAGTCTTATGGAAAAAACATTCAGTCTTTCACCATTAAGTATATTTGCTGTAGGTTTTTTGTATACATTCTTTATGAGGTTGAAGAAGTTCCTGTCTATTCCTAGTTTGCTGAAAGTTTTTATAATGAATGGATGTTGGATTATTTTCAAAAGTTTTTTCTGAATCCTATTGAGATGATCTTATGGTTTGTTTGTTTTTACTTAATATGGCAAATGACTTAATTTTTTCAAGTTATTTTATTAAAACATAACTGGCATGTAGTAAGATTTACCCTTTTTAGTGTACAGTTCTGCAAGTTTTTATAACACATACAATTGTATAGCCACCACCACAATCAAGCTATAGAATAGTTCTATTATCCCCCCAATTTCCCCTCTACCTCTTTGTAGTCAAGTCCTCCCACATCCCTAGCCCTTGGCAAACATGGATTTGAATTCTGTCATTATTGTTTTCTTTTTGCATCAGTGTCATGTAAATAGAAACACAGTATGGCTTCCTTCACTTAACATAATGCATTTGAGATTCTTCCATGTTGTTACCTACATCAGTAGTTTGTGCCCTTTTTTACTTAGTGGTATTCCATTGAATAGATGTCCCACAGTTTGTTTATCTGTTTACCTTTTAAAGGATATCTTGGGTTTTCTTCTTGTTTTTGGTGATTGTGAATAACACTGCTGTAAAAACATTCCAGGCAGGTTTCTGTGTAAGCATAGGTAATCACTTCATTTGGGTAAATATACCTAGGAGTGGGATTGCCGGGTCACATGGTAAGTGTATGTTTCACTGTATTAAGGAACTGCCAAATTGTTTACCCAGTTGTTCTTTGCTGATATATAGAAATGCAATCCATTTTTTATATTAATTTTTATCCTCTGACTTTATTAGTCTAGTAGTTATTTTGTAGGTTCTTTGGGATTTTCTACATAGACAATCATACCACATGTAAATAAGGTTTTATTCCTTTCTAATCTGCGTGTCTTTTATATCTTTTTTTTCCCCCTAGTACATTGGCTAGGACCTTCAGGATGATGTTGGATAGGAGTGGTGACGGTAGAAGCCCAGTCAGTCTTTCACCATTAAATATGATGTTAGCTGTAGATTTTTCACAGATTCCCTTTATCAGATTGAGGAAGTTCTTATCTAATATTAGTTTGCTGTAAGTTTTTATTCTGAGTGGATGTAAATTTTATCAAATGCTTTTGTCTCTAGTTTGTTGACTTGATAAATTACTTTTTAAAAATGGAAATTTATTGGAGTGACATTGGTTAATAGGAACATATAAGTTTTAGGTGTAGATTTCTATGATACAAGATCCGTATATTGCACTGTGTGCCCGCTTTGATGTTTAAATATGGAACCAGCCTTACATTCTTTGGATAACTCCACTTGGTTGTGATATATCATCCTTCTCATGTATTGCAATACATAAAATTAAACTTTTGCTAAAATTAAAATTTTGTGTAAAATTTTTGCATCTGTGTTCATGAGGGATATTGGTCTGTTTTCTTTTAATGTCTGATTTTGGTATCAAGATAATGCTGGCCTTTTAGAATGAGATGGAAAGTATTCCTTCCTCTTCAGTTGTCTGGAAGAGTTTGTATAGAATTAATTTTGTTTTTCCTTAAAAGTTTGGTACATTTCACAAGTTAAGCCATCTGGGCCTGAAGGATTTTTTATTAGTTTTTGTTTCTGTGGAGAGGGGCTTTAACTAACATTCAACTTTTTAAACAGATATAGGGTTGTTTAGGGTTATATATTTCTTCTTGAGTGAGCTTTGGTAGTTTGTGTCTCAGGGAATTCCATCTAAGTTATCAAATTTATTGGTGTGAAATTATTCATAATATTCCCTTTTTATCCTTCTAATGTCTGTAAAAGCTATACTAATGCCATCTATCTCATTTGTGTTATTGATTTTTTGTGTCTTTTCTCTTTTTTCCTGATCAGTTTGGCTAGAGGTTTGTCAAAGAACCAGCGCATTCTTACAAAATGTTAAAATGGTAAATACTATGTTATGGATATTTTATCACACTAAGAAAATACCCAAAAAACCCCAGCTCATTAATTTTCGACCTGATCTTTATTATTTCCTTTGGATTTCATTGGCTCTTATATTTTGTTTATTTCAATTTTCTTTATTTTTTTTTAAATTACAGTTGACATTCAATATTATATTACTTTTAGGTGTACAGCTTAGTGGTTAGGCATTTATATAACCTACAAAGTGATCCCCCTGATAAGTCTGGTACTTACCTGGCACCCTACATAGTTATTACAATATTATTGACTATATTCCCTATGCTGTACTTTACGTCCCCATGACTATCCTGTAGCTACAAATCTGTACTTCTCTATCCTTCACCCTTTTTACCTAGTCCCCCACCACCATATCTGGTAACCTGAGGTCATTGACTTGAGTTCTTTCTTCTTTTTCTAATATAGGCATTTAGTGCTATAAAATTCCCCTTAAGTACTCTTAACAACATCCCACAATTTTTTATAGTTATGTTTTCATGTTAATTCAGTTCAAAATACATTCTAATTGCCCTGTTGGTTTCTTATTTGACCCTTGGGTTATTTAGAACTGTGTTATTTAGTTTCCAAATATTGGGGGATTTTTTCATATATCTTTCTGTTGCGATTTCTAATTTAATTCCATTGTGGTTAGAGAACATTCTTTGTATGACTTGAATCCTTTTGAATTTATTGAGACTTCTTATGGCCTAGAATATGGTCAACCTTGGTCAATGTTCTATGCGTAAATGAGAAGAATGTGTATTGTGCTGTTTTGGGATAGTAGTTTATAAATGTCAGTCATGTCTATGTGACTGTGCTATTTATTTTCTGTGTTCTTGCTGGGTTTTTGCCTACTTGTTCTATCAGTTATTGAGAGGTGAATATTGAGATCTCCAACTAAAATTATGGATTTGTCTTTTTCTCCTTATAGTTCTCTCTGGTTTGCTTCATTTATTTTGAAGCTGTTGTTAGAGGCACGAACACTTAGTATTAATAAGTATTAGTTGATACCCTCATTATTATTAAATAATCTTTTCTACTCCTGGTAATATTTGTTCTGAAATCTACTTTTTGTGCTAATAACATGGCCCTTCATTCACTTTTTCCTTGTTTTTTTGGCTTCTTTTGGACCAGTTGAGTATTTTTATAATTCCACATTATCTCCTTTGTTGGCTTATATATGATTTTGTTCCACATATTTTGGTGCTTTATTAGGGGCATAAACAAAGATTAAGTTATCTTGAATAATTGACTCCTTTTCCATTATGAAATTTTATTTTATTTTTAATCCTTACCCGAGGATATTTTTCCCATTGCTTTTCAGAGAGTGGAAAGGG